CAGAAAACGTTTGCGTTTGGCAAAAAGCTTTGGGCCAGTCATGCTTTCTCAGCTCTGGGAAGGAGGCAAATTATTCCTGAAATCTTGCCAAGAAAACTGCAGGCCTTAGTTCAGGAAGTTGCCAGGAGTCAGCACTGATGAAGGTGGTATGGAGCAGGGGTGGGTTGTAAATTTTTTTACTACCGGTTCTGTGAGCGTGGTTTGTTTGGTGGGCGTGGTTTGGTGGTCATGTGACAGGGTGGGTGTGGCTTGGTGGCCATGTGACAGGGTAGGCGTGGCCAACTTGATGTCACTCACATCAAAGGTTAGGGTTAGGGTGCCTGGCCTCTGCTTGCCTCAAAGGTCTCAACGAGATACAATTTTCCTGTCTATTTATTTACCACTATTGAACATATACTATTTAATACTATGTATATATGCCATTTGTGTAAATGCATATTACATAGTATAGTGCATATAGGCACACAAAAAGATACATTATCTACTATATATACTGTATGTGTATGTACACACCCACACCCACACACACACACCTCTTCTAAAACTATACACATTCAACTTCACTTACTACATTTGGAAAAACACACCCAGAGTCCACTTTCTGTCACACATGTAACTATAACTTCTGTACATTTAGAACATTACACACACCTTCAGATGTTCTTCCGTAGCCTGCACATGACTGTTAGAGCCAGGAGAGATCATGGATAGAGTAAAATGTGGTGAAACTCACTTAACAACACTCTTGCTTAGCAACCAAAATTATGGACTCAATTCTGGTCATAAATCAAGGACTATCTCTGCCTTCCTCTGCATGGTAGCCTTGTCCTAGTAAACTCCTTCTCCTTTCTGGCAATTTTCCTCTCTGTTAAAAGCACCAAAATAATCCAGATGATGTAAGGTTTCCTGCTGGAGCATGGGGTTGGACTAGATTGCCTCAAAGGTCCCTCCCAGCCCTAGATTGCTGTCCTGTTTCAAAGCGTATTCTGAAGCCACGTCTAGTGCCAGGGTTTGTGGTCCTTCCTTCCTCTTCTCTCTCTCTCTCTCTCTCTTCCCCCCCATCTTCTTCTTTCTTTCTGTCTTCTTTCTTTCTCTCTTTCTCTCTCTCCCTTCCTCTTTCTTTCTTTCTTTCTTTCTTTCTTTCTTTCTTTCTTTCTTTCTTTCTTTCTTTGTCTCTCTTTTTTCTCTCTCCCTCTTTCCTTCTTTCTCTTTCTTTCTTTGTCTCTTTGTCTCTTTTTCTATTTCTCTCACTCTCTCTCTCTCCCTCCCTCCCTCCCTTCCTCCTGAAATGTCAGCAAAACCCACCATTTTGCTCCTAAAGTGGTCTAGGGCAGGGGTCTCCAACCTTGGCAACTTTTAGTCTTGGGGACTTCAACTCCCAGAGTTCCTCAGCTGGCAAAGCTGGCTCGCTGTCTCACGTCGCTTCTCAGCCTGAGCAACAAAGCCCCCCCCTCCAGACCTTTGGTCTCCGCAGCCTGTCAGGAGAAGGAAGAACAGGCAGGAGGGCACTGTCCAGCCAGGTCAAGTGCAGGACCAAGTATTAAAGGAGGAACCATCTGTGCTTGGAAGAGGATCGCAAGAGGGGGGGGACCAAATCCCATCCCACCCAGCTTCCCTTTTACCTTTCTTTAACGCACCCTGCTTCCCTCCCCAAACCTTGGGAGGTGGCGTTCTCTGCGCTGCAAAGCCCTCGAGGTGGCTGCAGGAGGGGGAAAAGGAAAAAAAAGCCTTGGCCTCTGAAGCCTCTCAAAGGAGGCTTCCATGTGTGTGTGTTTGACGGCGCTGAAGTGAGCCATGCGATCGGCTCCTTGCCTTCTGCTGCCACTGCCACTTCTGCCTCTTCCTTCTCTGAAGGAAGAGAAGTCGGAGAGGAAAAGATAGTTGCTTTGCCGAGTGTTTCGCCGCATTTCCAGTGAGGGCGGCTGACTTGGGATGGAAACGTGGAGAACTGCTCGGCAAAGCAATTGCCTTTTCCTTTCCAACTTCTGTTGGCAGAGAGAAGGAAGAGGCAGAGGTGGCGGCAGCAGCGGCAGCCAAAGGCAAGAGGATGATCGCAGCCAGCGTGGTTACCAGCGGACTCCCTTCATGTGGCTCACTTCAGCACTGCCAAACACACACACCCACACAAGCCTCCTTCAAGAGGCTACAGAGGCCAAGGCTTTTTCCCCCCTTTTCCCCCTCCTGCAGCCGCTTCGAGGGCTTTGCGGCCCGGAGAACGCCACCTCCGGAGGTTTGGGGAGAGAAGTGGGGCGCATTAAAGAAAGGTAAAAGGGAAGCGGGGTCGGGGTGGGTGGCAAGCTGGCCATGGGGACACCGGGAAGGCAGCGTGGAAGGAAGGCAAGCATGGCAGGGCTTCAGGAAGGGAGTAAGCTGCCATGCATGTCTGCCTTCCATGTGGCCTTCCGCTTGCCTGACTTCGCAAGCTAGCTGTGTGAATGCCGGGAAGGCAGCGTGGAAGGCAGGCGAGCATGGCAGGGCTTTGGGGAAGGGAGTAAGCTGCTAGCTCTCTTCCCCACAACTGGGTGGCCTTGCCACGCTTGCCTGCCTTCCCAGCAGTCCCCGGGGTCATTTTAAAATCTGTGCATGTCAGATTAAATCTATTTATAGTAAATAGCATCAACAAATACATCCCAGAGAAAATTAGTAAAGAAAATATTTATTTGATTATACATGTAATAACAGCTGCAAGGATTGTTTTTGCACAAAATTGGAAAGCAGAGAAAATACCTCTGGAAGGAGAAGTAATTAAAAAATTTTTTAGACTGTGCAGAAATGAATAGATTAACTTTGATAATTAAAGAAAGAGAGGATTCAGAATATTTTAAGATACGGGATCAATTTTACCATTGGTTAGTAAAGAGATATAGATAAGCAAACTAATAGTTATGTAAGAAAATGGTATAATTAGAATATTGTACTTTTGGAGAAATGTTGTAATAGACAAAGTGAAAATGAAGACAGAAGAAACAACAAAAAGACGAAGTCATGGAGAAAACACCGAGATGTCACATGGAAGGAATGACTGATGTATTAAATGTTTGTTTGTGTATAAAATTTAAAAAAAAAATTCAAAAAAAACAAAAAACAAATATGGACCAGCTTAAATCTGCCTTCCAATTGTGCATTAGCTAGAGAATCCAGAAGGGTAATTTTAAGCTAGTCGTTCTGTCTAGTCATTCTCTGTCAACCTAGGAAGAAAGCAATGGCAAACCATCTCTGAAAATGTCATCAAGAAAATTGCACGTTTTCTCCATGTAATTGCCAGACATACCCAAAACTGTTCTTTTAATTTTAATTTGTTTCCTGGCAACTGTGGACCTATTTCAGGACATTGAAAGCCTCATGCATACTAATGGTCACATTTTAAAGTCACATGCAATATGATTTGACAGTGGAGAATATTGTCATCAATCTTTTACCCTGCATAGATCACTCTTTGATTGCCTTTGAGATAGTCCAAAGGCAATCGAAGAGTGATCTATGCACTCTTCGTGAGGTGAGTGAGGTAGTCCAGGTCAGGAAACTAACTCCACCAATTTGACTGGATCTTTATTGGTATAGGCCAGTGATGGCTAACCTTTTCCGGACCGAATGCCCAAAGCGTGCACTCGTGCCCAAACCCCCAAAATGCAATGTGCATGCAGCCCCTGTGCATGTGTCCCACCCCCGTGCATGCGGCCCCTGCATGTGCCCAGTGCATGTGTACCCCCTGCAAGCGCCCCGCCCCCTGTGCATGCTGTCACCCAGCGCATGCCCCGCCCCCTGTGTATTCATGGCAGAGACCCGAACACAAGCTGGCCGGCGGGAGGCATGCATGCATGCACAGCGGAGCTGAACTGGGGCGACGGCTCGTGTGCCATCAGAGAGGGTGCTGCATGCCATCTCTGGCACACGTGCCATAGGTTCACCATCACGGATATAATCTTTGAAGTCTAGCTTCAATGTTTGTTATTACAGCCAGGTTATTACAGCCAGGTGCTGCTGCTCATCACACTGTGCACAACTACTATAATGGCCAAAACCATTTACACTCCTTATCTCACTGATGCAGCCATGGCTTCTCTCACAACATGGCCAAGGCCTCCATTCATGTGCTTCCTGGGCCTCCATTTACATTCCACCCGAGACTTCTGCTCATGCCCCTCCCAAGGCCCTTCTTTCATACCGGCATAGCATCAGAGGGGTAAAAATCACAATCATTAATTGTTAAGACAACTAGGAGATTGGTCTCTTTACACAATTGTAAAGGCCTAGGCACAGAACCACCCCATTAGGGCCTCATGAGAGGCCAAGAATGTTGCAGAGTAGAATGTTTCTACTATGGCAGAAAAAGCTTGCCTTCTGGGTCCAACTAGAATTTCTTAGCCGATGGCTCCCAGAATATACTAGCCTGCCAGGTCAGATCAGATGGATAAAAGTGACCAGGAAGAGATCTTCATCCAAGTAACTCAGTTCCAAGTCATAAAAACGATTTTAAAGGTGATAGCCAGCACATTGAATTGCACCTCGAAGAACATCAGCCACCATTGCAGTTCACAAAGTAGTGGTGTTACATGCACCAAGTAACCAACACCATTTACCACCCAGGCTGCCTTATTCTGCCCCAGCTGAAGTGCTTTTCAAGAGCAGCTCCATGTGGAAAGCACTGCAGTAGTCCAGATAGGAAAGTACAAAAGCACGACTGACAGTGAGCAGGTCCTCCTGGTCCAATAATATCCTCTCAGAAACGTATTTGGTTCCCACGCTGATAATATTTGAGAAGTGTTTAAAAACCTTTGGGACTAAACACATTTCGTTTGGTTTAGTTTTCTGCTTTTTAGAATAAACTGTTCTGGAGTTAAATGGCCTCTAGATCTCATATCTGAATACAATATAAATAAAATATCTACCAAACTGGGGGGAAAAGCTGAAATTAAAAGTAAAATATTTTTTAAAAGCTATGGAACAAGATTTGACAGCTAGGTTTTGCTAAATGCTGTTTCTTTTTCATTGGCATTTAGCTGAAAATGCATGTGGACCACCTGCTAGAAGGGAACGTGAACAACCTATGGAAGAATTGACTGCAGAGACATATGAACATGGACACATAATATCATATAAATGCCGCCCTGGATATGCTAAAGCTTGGCCTATTAAACTTCAATGTAATGATGGAGTCTGGCAACGATTGCCACCTACTAAGAACTGCACAGGTAAGAAATAAAATAATGTTTTGCAAAAACCTGTGAAGAAGGATACTGAAATGTTGAAAAAGTATTTTTTACCATTTCCGATTAGTATTTTTGATTATAAGCCATCAAGCTGATGTTGGCTCTTAGTGGTCATGTAGATAGATTTTTTTCCTGGACAATCTGTCCCCAACTTGTCTCAGGTTTCCAAAAGTGAAGTCATCATTGCTGTAACTGTGTCCATTCACTTTACTGCCAGGGTTTGAAATGGACTCCTAACATTAGAACCACCATTAAAAAGGTACAACAAAAAATGTTCTTCCTGTGTCAACTCAAAAGGTTCACACTGCCCCAGAAGTTATTGATACAGTAATACAGAGGAATTACTGACTCTATCATTTGTACTTCTATAACTGTCTGGTTTGGTACAACAACCAAACAGGACAGGTACAGACTCAAATGAATAGTTGGGACTGCAGAAAAAACAATTGCAACCAGCCTGCCTTTCATAGAATACCAGTATATTGAGCAGAGCAGAAAGAAGGCTGAGAAAATAGCTACAGACCTCTCACATCAACTCCTCCCCTCAGGATGTCATTATAGGGCATTGCATGCCAAAATAACTAGACACAGGAACAGTTTTTTCCCTCATGGCATCACTCTGCTGAATACCTTATTCTCACAGGACTGTCATATATCTAAGTATATTTACCTATATTGTATGTCTGTAGTATTATTATCCTTCTCATCTTCTTTAATATTTCCTCTTATTGGTAGTATTATGATGATTATTACTCTGTTGCTTTGCGCATACATAGAGCTTTTGCACCGGAGATAAATTCTATTCTATTCTATTCTATTCTATTCTATTCTATTCTATTCTATTCTTCTACTTTCCCCAATATTACAAACTTCTTCAGAAAGCTAGGTCTTTGCATATGTTCAAAGTAGGATTCACCCAACTACTAGAGCAGGGAGGCAATGAATATTGCGGGTCCCAACCCCTAAGAAGGTACACCTGGTGGGATTCAGAAGAAGGGCTTTTTCTATGATGACTCCATCCTTTTGGAAAAGAAATTAGACTAGCCCCCACTTTGACACTCTTTCCCTGAACATTTGGTTTTGCCAGATGGCCTGGGAAAACCAGAGTGGAATGACCCATCAAATGGCTAATTTGACTGTGTGTTGTCACTGGGATGGATAGGACTGTTATTGTTTTTTTGCTTTTTTTATTTTATTTTCTATGCTGTGCTTTTATTGCTTTTAAGCCACCTAGAGTCACTGTGAGCAAGTAGGTGGCTGTATAAATTTTCTAAATAAATAAATAGTCTGTTTCCCTTTATATTGTGTTTTTACTTGATACTGAGTGCCATGAATTACATTATTATAATTAAAAATAGAAGTTGCCTTTCAGACTGAATGCCAGAAGGATTTCCATGAGTAAAAACTTTGAATTTGCCATGTAATGTCTTAATGAAAGGCATTTCATATAATTACATATCATTCAGAATATCAGAATGTACACAGCAATGAGGTGAAGCAGGAGTGCAGGAATTCTGAAAATAGTAAGACCAGGTTTAGTTCATAATAACAATGAGATAGGAAATGTGAAATAGGCAAGGGGAGATTCAAGCTCTGGGCAGTCTAAGGGCTTCCCAAATGCTAATTTTCTTGTTATATTGTATTGTATTACATTTTATTTTAATTTTCAGGAAAATCTTGTGGCAGTCCTGGAGATTCTGATTTTGCCAGTTTTGAACTTACCCAGGGAGAGGATTTTACTTTTGGTGCCCGTGTTGTTTATAAGTGTCATGAAGGGTAATGTTTTTATAATTGTTTTTCCCTGTTCTAATTATTCATTATATACAACCTGTGTATTAAGGAAAACAAAAGCTCTGTCTTCCAAAATGATAATGCATTTATATTGTATTCTAATGTGGGAGTTTGTAATATATCCCTATAGAATCCTCTCTTGCCTGCATGTAGATCTTGATATGTGGCTAGTCTACAAGAGAAAAAGGAAGCCAAAGAGAGATAATGGGGGGGGGGGGACCAGTTCATGTCATTCAAACACACAGATAGATGCACAGTTTGGTGTAGTGATAAAGATGTTGGCTTAGAAACTAAGAGACTCTGAATTCTAGGTTTCCTTTTGGGGAACATAGTAGGCAGGAATATTTGATATGTTTGATACTTTGAGTCATATTTCAAAGGAATATTTATACTGACGTTGGAAGTGTTGAATAGAAAGTTTAGAGAAGAAAAAGAGATAAAAGGAATGAAAATTAGAAAGGAAGAATTTAAATTACAAGCCTTTGCTGATGACCTGGTTTTTATTGTTGAAGAACCATTACTATCAATAAATAAATTGATAGAAAAAATAGGTGAATTTGGGGAGGTTGCTGGTTTGAAAATTAATAAAGAGAAGATGAAGTTAATGACTAAAAATATGTTAAAAAAACAAAAAGAAGAATTGAGGGAGATCTCCAAGATGCAGGTCACAAATAAGGTAAAATACTTGGGGATTCAATTAACAGCAAGATGTAGTTCTCTTAAAGAAAATAATTATAATAAGATTAAGATAGGACAGGATCTGGTGAAATGGAGAAACTTGCAGTTATCTTTGATTGGTAGAATTGCAACTATTAAGATGAATATTTTACCTAGAATCTTGTATTTTTTTCAGACAATTCCTGTAAAGCTGGGTAAGGAATTTTTTGCAGATTTAAATAAAATGGTTTTGAAATATGTTTGGCAGGGAAAGAAGGCAAGGATAAAACTCAAACTGAATATTTGATATGTTTGATACTTTGAGTCATATTTCAAAGGAAAGATAAACACACACACATGCACATGAACATACATACACACATGTATATATGCATACATATATATATACACTTTAAGATTGGGGCAAGAAGAGAGTTTGATGTAATGTAATCTATAGCTCTTGTCTGGCCATCAAGAGGGTAGACACTGATTTAAGAAACATCTCAACATTAGCAGAAGTCCATCCTTTCCATCTTTAGGCATTCAGTGGGATTCTAGATCTATTCAAGTAAAAATTATGGACTTGTTCTTGTTAGGGAGTAAAAAGCCAACACCTAAATAAATATCATATTGTTTTTTTTAAAAAAATGCTTGTGCTTATACAAGTACAAGCAACTGAAATATGAGAGTGCTGTCCTCAACCCTGATAGACAAGTCATCTAATTCCACTCATTCCTTTATTTTATATATGAAATCCTTATTTATTCAGATGCAATTATTCTCAGGAAATATAATACTGAATGTGTGATCCTCAAATGTCATGGATTTTTTTAGCTATAATCCTCCTGAAGTGTATTGGAACACTTCACTCTTGGAATCATAAAAGTGGAAGAGGCTCAGTGAACAAATACCAATTAAAACATTCATCTACAATATATAGCTGCCTAGACTTCACTTAAATAACTACAATGAAGAAGAGTGCACCAGTTCTATGAATAAATGGTTTTACTGTCAAACCAATTTGAAGAAGTGTTTTTTTCCCCTTAAGATCAAGTTGCAATCTTTTCCGTATTGTACCTTAAAAGCATTATTCTGTGTTATGTTGATTATTTCTGATGTATGGCAGTGTTACCCTTTTTCATAGACATGTTGGGTTTTGCTGTACTGGATTGGGTGATCAAGCACTTTTTCATAAAATTGTGCAGATATCCATTTTATTAGAAGATGGATAGATGGCCTGCTTTCTTTTTCTCATGTTCTGCATTACTGCAGAATATTTGTGCTCATCTGAATAATGTATACAGCTGGAGTATACAATGTATATAGTATACAGTATACAATGTATACAGATGAGTATACAGCTCCTCTTACGGGAGATTGGGTTATTATTTTAGTAGTGGAACACTTGGTTAGTGTGGTTGGTTTTTGATAGACTTGTGTTTCTAATTTGCTGCCATTTCTTCTGCTAATGAGGACATCAAGGAAATTAAGTGTGTTTCTTCCATTGTGGATTTAATTTCTTTGAAGATGATGTTGAATATTTCATGCGTCTTCACTAGTTGTTCCTTTTATGTTATGAGGAAAGTGTCATCTACATGCCAGATGCCTTATTTTTGGTTGTATGTGTTGTAGCTATAGCCTCTAGACACTGCATTACAGTCTCTGCTATGAGTCTAGAGAATGAAGATTCCATGGCTGTACCTCTGATTTGTTGGTATATTTGTCCATCAAAATGAAATAAGGTACTGGCAGAAATTGATGAGGTTCATGATTCTGGGAATTTCATTCTTAGTGTATTTAGTTGGGTCAAGTGTGTTGTGGAGTATTGCTGTCATGGATTATTTCTATGGGTCTATGAATATAAAGAGTGCTGTGACATCTAATGAAACCATAATCTCATCTTCTCTTATTATGTCTTTGATTTTTCTGACAGCACTGTAGTTAAGAGAATATTTGCTTCTCTCTCAGATGTCCAAGCTTTTTGTAAGGCTATGTTGTATGTTGAGATAATCTCCCTGATAATGAGATAGTGGATAAAGAACTATGTCATGTTTGTGTGTTTAGGAGGATCCATAGAAGTTTGGCTTGGTGGAACTTGGAAAATAGAAAGTTAAAAACAGCAAGGGCTGAAAAATACAGTGTTATGCTAGGGAGGCCATTAATTTTATTGTCAAAAATCCAATGTAGAAAATAATAAAATAAATATTTTTCCTGGGGAGCAGCAGTTTGAATTTGAGGACATCTGATAGATTATAAATCTTTAAGGAGATTTACATCCTTTGCCATAAGCTAACCATAATAACATCACATTGACAAACTATAACTTTCAGTTTTCACTGTATTTTATATCAAAGTTTTACTGCTTTCTTAGTAATATCTTCACTTTCTTTTATGCCACATGCCTTTTTTTTTACAATATTGGGATTTCTGCATTTCAAATTTATAACTCAAAGCAGCTCAATTTGTTTTTCAAAGTGACCTTATTTTTCATTATTGACTAAAATGTTTATAAGCTGTATTTGTGCAATGACATACTGAAAAGAAATTCTGCACTTTTTTTACTTTTGAATTTGTGTGAGAAACCCGAATATCATAGCCATATAAGTGAAAATAGACAACAATATTATTGTTGTCTATTTTTTATTTTGCTTTCTTCTCCCGTATTTTAGTGATATAAACATCTGACTGTGCTGGTTTCTTGGTGACTGAACGTAGAATTACCCCACTTGTTTCATCTGAATTTGTTTTATTGCATATTGGTTTTCTCTGGAATATAATATGTATTTTTGTAAGAGACATAATTTTGCAGTGTTGCTACACAATGTTATTATACTCTTAAATTTTATCTCTCTCTTCATTAAATATTTGGACCACATGAGGGCACTCCTATACAAGGGATAATTAATTGAAAGTTTCATTTATACTTTTTGAGCATTTGTACTTTTCACTGTACTACATATGTACATGTTTGTATTTGTCTGAGAAATCCAAATAAGACATTTAGTCTGGTTAAAACAGACTGCAATTTTAATACATTTTAGATTTATATAAGATATGCTATATCTTGTATTTTATAAAATATTGTAATTGTAATATCAATAACGTATATCTTTTAGCTGCTGATTTTCATTTAATATACCTCTTACTACAAGAGAGAGCTCTAATATAGAGAATGCTTCCTGGGATTTTCATTCCAAACCTTTAAAATACTTTATTACAGTGAGATACTAGTACTGAGTTGTTTTTTTAAAAAATCTGAAATTTTGTTCCAGTACTTCTTAAAATATGGAACTTTTTCCCATGGGATACAATATTTCCTTTATATCAGGGCTCACCAACCTTTCAGACCTTAAGGACCACTAAATTCATAATTTTAAATCCCGCAGATCACTAATATGAATCCAGCATGCTTTCTCCCTCCCTCACCCCCTCTCTCTCCCCTACTCTGTCTTTCCCTCTCATCTTTCTCTCTCTCTCTCTCCCCTCTTCTCTTGTTTTTTTTTTTTAAACTTGAATATCAAACTCTATTTTGGAAATACAATAGTGTATATCCAGAAGTGGTTTTGAATTTGGTGATATTTTCAAAACTTTTGGAATGGAAAATAAATTTAAAAGTTGGGGAGAATGAGTTTCTCATCTTTTTCTAACTCTGGGAATAAATACCAAACTTGTTTCAGGTAAACTCTTCTACATTTCCAAGAACGATCAGTAATAATTAAAATAATGCCTCTTCTCAGTATGTTCTAAATTATTATAAAATATGCCTTGATATATAATCCTTTTGCAGTATTAGTGTGTTTAGTTCACTATTTTTTTTTTAATTATTAGGTATAAGATGCTCAGCCAACATAATTACCGTGATTGTCGAGCAAATGGATGGACCAATGAGGTTCCTCATTGTGAAAGTAAGTAGGCTCTCAACATTATTAGGGATCAGAGTAGTAAAAATGACTTCAATTCCCACAAACTGCCATGGTTATCAAGCAATATCATTTCTGACTTTAGTTGTGAGTTTCAAAACCATTCAGTTTCTCTTATTGATTCCCACTGAAATGAACTCTTCACCTAAATTTTTGTAAATCAAATTTTTTTAATAATTTCTGCTACTATCTGTTTCTTCTAAACAAGTTACATATTGTTTCAATCTTTTCAAATAATGAAATGAATTTGTTTTCTGAAGTGGGAGAGTTTGCTTCATTATATTTCATGTTAGGCATTTAAAGTCTATATGCCAAAATCTAGAAAAAGTCAATACTTGTAGTCTTAGCGTGGTGCCTCTTCCTTAGTTTCTTGTCATGTCTGTTGCATAGTTTCTTCTGTCACTTCCTTGCCTGTTGTCCATGTTTTCTTTAAATGTTTCTAAGAAATCTCATGATACTAAAACTGAGTTAGTCAGAACCTCTTGTAGGAGATGACTGGGCTGAGCCCAAGGGAGGGCTAAAACACATCATATGTCATGAGACCCTGCACACCCATAAAAGATCTAAGTCCAACCCACCTTGAATGCCTCTCTTATCTCCCACATATTTCTCTTAACAGTCAGTTGGGCAGATTCTTGTAGAGATCTTAAGCTTTCATTTGAGCTGCCTCATCTCCTGAATTCTCGGGCGCTTGATACCTCTACTGTTTAAAATTAAAAATCTCTCCTTCCAATTTGTCTCAACAAAATGATATCTTTTTATGCTTTAGCTTTTCAGTCAAAAATATCCCCCCCCCTCCTTAGGTAGTATTCTGATTGGAACTTATTTATATATATCTGTGTTGACCTTCAACCTGGTATTAAAATGCTTCTGGAGAGCTTAATCTCTTGTTTTCCTCCTAATAAAGTACATAAGAAAATCCCCTGATGCATTTCTTAACTTTGCATAATGCATACTGATCCCGTATACATTATCTGTCTCTGCTTGCATATCATCTCCATCCTATTACAGAAATTTTGTAAAGATTGGACAACCTACTCTTGTTCTGGGGTCTTTTGAAACCACTCTGAATCTCAGGCATAATTCTTTTCCTTCTTTAATTCCAATAGTGCCAAGATTGTGTAAATCTTTTTTCCATCTTTCTGTTTATTATTTCTGCTTTGTTTTCTTTCTTTCTTTCTTTTATTTGTTTCACCTCTCCAGTCAACTGTCCTAGAGATTCTTCAAGGTTTTTTTTAATCTCTTCTTTCACTTCCTCCTTCATATTTACAAATCTTTCTCCCAATCTTCCTTAAAATGTAGCCATGTCTCTTTTAACAGATTCAGATAAATTCTTCTCCAACTTTTCAATTATTTTTTTTAATCTTTGGAGTGATCATCTTTTTCTTGGGTGCTCTAACAATCCCCTCCTTCCTTTTCCAAGTTTGCTGATTTTCCAGTAGTATCCATTTCATTTATTTGTAATCCAGAAAGAGAAAATGAGCCAAGTACAAAAGTAAAAGGGAGGTTTCTTTCTCTCTCCCCCCCCGCTTTGCTTTTTCTGTATTACCTTAAGCCTTTAGTCCCTTCTGACACTTTGAAGTTCTAAAGACACATGTTCTGTTTTAAGATTCCTTCAGCTCATTATTTTGAAAAGTCTACCAATTGTCTCTTCACTAAAACTCTAAACAATCTGTATTCCCACTAAGATATGTATTTCTTAAATAATTTGAAAACTTCTGTATAAAAGTAATATTTCAAATTTCACTGTCCTTTTTATCCATTTAAAGCTTATTTAGAACAAACTCCTGTCAAGTTTTCTGCAATTGATTTTAAATTTTTAAAATCGTTATTTTATTTGTATCTTTAATCCAGAATGAAGGCTCACTCACACTCACCAAGTAGTTAATTGTTCTGCTATTCCAAAAAAACATTTTTCCCTTTAATTAAAAATAATTTTGATACAAATGTGCTTAAGGAAGTGAAGTTTTAAGTAAACCAATGTCCTTAAAGGCTCCACTGGGGATCTGACCTCTTTGACTTTCCTGAGTCTTCCTGCCACTCAGATTTACAAATCAGCTGCAAGGTCCTTAAAGTCCAGCTGTTACCTCACATGGAAGAGCGTTCCAGAGCACAGTGAGAAGTCTCTTGGTCTTTCCTTATTCAAGGAGGTTCTGGTGGCTCAGGCTTGTCATCCAAATTGTCAGCCTTCCTCATATTATCTCCACTCCTTCAGAGACATCCTAGTCTATCATTGTTATTACTTGGAAGTCTCATGCATTCTTAAATTGTAAATTGTACTGAGATAGGTCTGCTTATAGTCTTTCCTTAAAACATTAGTTTATATATGAACTTTCTTCTAGAAGATTCAGAATCCTTTATCACCTGTGCAACAGCCACTTTCTGGATTACCACAATTAAAATAAGCATAAATGGTTATAGATATAACCTCTTACCTTTTATTCATTACTTCAGATTTAATACGTTACCCATCTTGTTTTAGACAATATATATTTTAACTTCCTAGATTGTAATATTTTAGATGTATACTTGCACAGATAATTAAAACACATAGACAGATATTTAAAAATTAAAATGTAGTACGTTACATTTTTATTTGTCGTTTTATTTTTGTTTCACTAATATTTGTCTCGTCTATTTGATTTTTATTTTTGCATTGTATTTTTTTTTCAAATTTTACCGGTCATTGACCAAACACACAGTATTACTATTTGGTTAGTTTCATTTCATTTACCATGATTTGGAAATTGAAGTTAGTTATTTTTTTTTTAATGAAATCTCATTTTTGGCTCCTTTTCAATTTGCAATTCAAGATCTTCTAAAAGTACCATTACCAGCTAGGTATTTTAAAGCCCTGCATAGCATGGCTCAAGTCTACTTGAGAACCCATCTCACCCTGATGGGACTGGCCCATCCCCTTTTTGTGCATTTTTCTTTAAAATGTCTCAGTATTAGGGTTGGGTATATGAGTGACATAAATTATTTCTTTGCTGATGTCTTTATTGGTTAAATATATTCTACATAAACATTGTTACTATTTCTGCAATAATAATACACTTCATGGTAATCTATCTCCCATTATTTGCTCAATTACCCAATGTGATAGAGTAGAAGATTTCTATGCTGATTGAGAATATGTCCACTTATCTATTTTTAATAGATTTGTATTTTCTAATGATCACAGTAAGATTGGTGAAATGACTTTGTTTTTGTTTCATTAAAAAAAAAACATTAATTTTGCCATTTTGCTAGAAACTATACTGTGCACATCACCAGATTGTAAAATATTTATGATTGGTCATTTCCCTCCTTGCTTCCTTTTTTCTAAGTCTGAAACATTTCTTAATTAGCTTTATATCACAATATTACTTTATTTGCAGTCAACAAATGTCCTCCAATAGCACCAGCAGGAAATGTGAGGATTATTCAGGGTGCAAAATCTCAAATGAATGAAGATTTTTCATCTGGTGATCTAGTAATATTTGGATGTATTGGAAAGCTCAAAATAAAAGGAGCTAATAAAATTACTTGTACAGCTGATGGCACTTGGAGTGCACCTGTTCCAGAATGTATAGGTGAGTGAGGGGGAAGTTAAGTGAACTCTGAGTTGATTATTACACTCCTTTGTCATGGTTGGATCACTCTTTGATTGGCTTGGAGTTCTATGGGCTGTTCCCCACTACAGAAAGACTGGACCAATTTGGTCTGCCTCAGACAACTGATAAACCCCAATTGGTTCTAAATGGAACTTTCTAAGTGAAACGGGAGAAGAGAGATCTAGAGTACCATTGGAGGACAACAAGAAATGAAGCCAAGTGAGTGTGAGTTACTAAGACCTATCTCATGGTTGTAAGAGCAGTGAAGTGTCCATAGTATTCTGTTCTTATTGCACTTAGTTGGTGGTTTTGTTCAAGGCAACCCAGATACGCCTCAGGAGGATTGTGAGGAATATGCTAGGCATATGTTGGATAAATTGTTTGGATTCACGCTATACTGCATTCTAACCTTGAGGGAAGCCCCATGGAATTAATTGAGACTTAGTCTAGTTTCATTGTCTGGGAGGAGTTTAAAACCTATTAATCCTGACCATTAGTTTGGCCATCAGTATAATACATCCATGTATTATACATACATCCATGTATTATACATGCATCCATGTTCTTCCTGGTAGGCTAAGACCTCCTATCAGGTGAGACATGGTTGGGTTCTGGTTCCAAGTAAATTCCTACTTGGGAAAGAAGATGGTCCTTCACTTAAGGAGCCAGCAGTGTACTCTTTTCTCAAGAAGCCACTATTAGCTGGACAAATATTGTCTCATATTGTCCCAACCTACCCTTCCTGGGGAAGGTTATTAAGAACAAGCAATTGCTTCAAAGAACTGTGGAGGAAGTTCTGGACTTTTCCAGTCAGATTTCAGACCTGAGTACAGAATTAAAATGGAATTGATCATACCTGTGGTGAGAATAGGATGCAGCCATCCTTTCTCTCCTTGGTATTTTATTGGCTTTTAATCGGGATAACTTCTGGGCTGGCTTCAAAGATTGGATTGGGGAGCACTGTGTTGTACTAGTTCTTCTCCTTCCTCTGGGAGAGTTTTAGTCAGCATTCATGGAAGGAGAAGTCTAGTCCGCAGATACTGCTTTGCAGTGCTCAGCCCCCTCCCCACTTCTGTTTAATATTAACATGAAGAAACTGGTTGAGACTGAAGGCATTTCATTTGATTGTGAAATAGTAGATTTATTATTATTCATCCCAATGAGTATGAAAAAGACCACTTATTCAACCTGATTCTACCTGAATCATATTAGGATGAAAAATGAGATTAAAATTAGAAAAATATCTCTTTCTTCTTTAATCTTTTTACTAATACAGCATTTTTTAATTCAAGTGAATAAACATAATATTAATGAAAAAAACCTCTTATTTGTATTTTATATTAGAAATAACTTGCCAGGCAGACTATATTGAAAATGGAAACGTATTATCTCCAAAGATCACTTATAAGGAAGGTGAGAGAATACGATTCTCCTGTAATGAAGGATACTCACATGTTGACAGACAAGATGCCTTATGTACTGAGACTGGATGGGGTACAAAGCTTCAATGTGAAGGTCTGTATGTGATTCTAATGGTCATGGTTGTTTTGAAATCTTACACACATTTTAGTCTTCTTGCTGTGCATGCCTAAAATTGCAGCTCCAATCAATCTGACCTGGTTAAAAACCTTGTGGTAAAATAGGGAAAGAAGTATTTGTATGTCTTTATTTGATTTCATTTTTATCAGACATACGGAGAACAAGAATAAGAAGCATTGTCTTAGAAGACTCATCCTTCCTTTTTTTAACAAGTAAAAGAAAATATTGCCTCAATTTTCGTCTAGATATATGGATTATTTACATCATACTGAATTGATTTCCTAAACTAGCTATGATTAGTTTTAAAGGGATAACTGAAAAAGAGCCACTAAGTTTATAATTTCAACATTTTAATAATCCTTGATTAATTAAAAACTCAGGATTCATGGCTTCCTGGAATTTGTGGAGTCAAATGGCATATTATACTTCCTTTAATCTTAATTAATCAGACTTAGAAATGTCTTTCTTCAAAGAAGGACTTTATTCTTCTGAAGATCATCTGAGGCAAACATTTACTTCGGTCTGCAATCTATCATAGTAATATGACTCAGCAATAAATATGGGGCCAAATAGAAATGAATGTTTCATGTAGCATTTCTTTGACAGAGGAACATAATTCATCAAGACTGTTTGTGTCTAAGGCACAAAGTATAGAAAAAGTAATTGTTTCTTTTAGGGAAATTTGGGTGATAGTCCCACAAGGGGGCAACTCAATCTATTTTGAAGATATGTGCAAAGGGCAGAATTGATCCACAAATCAGTTGGCAATCTTTGTCTCAGACTGAAATCACGTTATGACTTCAGCATTGGTGGTTCTTACATTTGGGCACTAATTTCACTCTCTTTTTCCCCCTTAAGTGTTGTAAAATCACATTACAATTTTACAATATATTAATTTTTACAATATATTAATTTTACATTCATGGTAGATTTTAGGAGAAACCCTCCTATACTACCACCTCTTTCAATACTAGACAACACAGTATCAACAGTAGAGTCCTTCAAGTTTCTAGGTTCTATCATATCTCAAGATTTAAAAGGGACACCTAACATCAAAAACATCATCAAAAAAGCACAACAAAGATTGTTCTTTCTGCACCTACTCAGGAAGCTCAAACTGCCCAAAGAGCTGCTGATTCAGTTCTACAGAGGAATTATTGAGTCTGTCATCTGCACCTCTATAACTGTCTGGTTTGGCTCTGCAATCAAACAACACAGACACAAACTTTAACGGATAATTGGAACTGCAGAAAAAACAATTGCTACCAACCTGCCTTTCATTAAGGACCTGTATACTGCATGAGTCAAAAAGAGGGCTGTGAAAATATCTACAGACCCCTCGCATCCTGGACATAAATTGTTTCAACTTCTACCCTCAAAACGATACTATAGGGCACACTAGAACAACTAGACACAAGGACAGTTTTTCCCCAAATGCCATCACTCTGCTAAACAACTAATTCCCACAACACTTTCAAATTATCTACTAAGACTGTATTACTATTATTCTTCTCATCCTTCCTAGTACCTATCTCTTCCCACTCTTACTATAAGCATGTTGCTTGTATCTTTATGATTTATATTGTTTTATTGTTTCCTAGTATGATTTGATTGCTTATTAGTATCCTATGACTATCTTATGTTAGTATCTTATGATTCTTGATGAATATATTTCTATTCTATTCTATTCTATTCTATTCTATTCTATTCTATTCTATTTCTATTCTATCTATTCTATTCTATTCTATTCTATTCTATTCTATTCTATTCTATTCTGTTAAGCAACAAAGTGAGAACAGAGCATCAGCTTTAGGGCAAGGATCCCCAGTGAGGTCCATATTAATTTATCAGTGGTCGATAAATGGCTGGATAAATAACTGGTCGATAAATGATGAATCAAAAGTTGGAATTTAGATTGCCAGGAGAAATATCAACAACCTCAGATATGCAGATGATACCACTCTAATGGCAGAAAGTGAAGAGGAACTAAAGAGCGTCTTGATGCGGGTGAAGAAGGAGAGTACAAAAGTTGGCTTGAAACTCAACATCAAGAAAACTAAGATCATGACATCCGGCCCTCTCAATTCCTGGCAAAGAGATGGGAAAGCAATGGAGGTAGTGACAGATTTTATTTTCCTGGGCTCCAAGATCACTGAAGATGGGGACTGCAGCCAAGAAATTAAAAGATGGTTGCTCCTGGGGAGGAAAGCTATGGCAAATATAGATAGCAGACTAAAAAGCAGAGACATCACCCTGCCAACAAAAGTGTGTATAGTCAAGGCCATGGTTTTCCCAGTTGCAATGTATGGCTGTGAAAGTTGGACCATAAGAAAGACTGAGCACCAAAGAATTGAAGCCTTTGAACTATGGTGCTGGAGAAGACTCCTGCGAGTCCCTTGGACTGCAAGGTGATCAAACCAGTCAGTCCTAGTGGAGATCAACCCTGACTGCTCTTTAGAAGGCCAGATCCTCAAGATGAAACTCAAATACTTTGACCACCTAATGGGAAAGAAGGACACGCTGGAGAAGAGCCTAATGCTGGGAAATATTGAGGGCAAAAGAAGAAGGGGACAACAGAGAACGTGGTGGCTGGATGGAATCACTGAAGCAGTAGGCGTGAGCTTAAATGGACTCCAGAGGATGGTAGAGAACAGGAAGGCCTGGAGGAACGTTGTCCATGGGGTTGTGATGGGTCAGACACGACTTCGCAACTTACAACAACAAAATGATGAAAAGTCATTTGCAATCAACTAATCTTTCTTCACCTATTGAGAATTTCTCAAGGACCTGGAGCAGATAAATGTTCTTGTTGGTTAAAGATAGACCACCTATTTTTATTACTGTTGGACAGTATTACTTGGTCTGTTGTGTGGATGTTTGGGTGGTTTAGGGGTGGGGAATTGTGGTGGGTGGGGTGTGTTTGGGGATTATTATGTGTGTTGGACCTGGTCTTTGGGTGTTAAGTGAATTTCATTTTATGGGTATACTGTGTATACACATACAATGACAATAAAGTTATTTATTTATTTATTTATTTATTCATTCATTCATTCATTCATTCATTCATTCATTCATTCATTCATTCATATTCCTCCATAGAAATTAAGTGTTTCCCTCCAGAAGTGACGAATGGCTACCTTCAATATAGACGAGATCACTATATGTACAATGATGAAATTGAAACAATATGTAATGAAGGGTTTGTCTTTGGAAGCCCCGGAAAGGTTTCCAAATGCACTGCAACTGGTTGGCATCCTCCTCCTGTCTGTAAACGTAAGTAACTTTTTCTATGAAGTTTCTTTCTAGGGCAGAACTTGCTTCATTGTTTATAAATAATATTCTTATAGTTATGCTAGATGCAGTGAGATAATTATGGTGGGAGGAGAATAGTTTATTATAGATACCGGTAGTTACAGCATGATTTCTGTAATTTTTTCATTAAACAATCCTACAGTTTTGTATAATAATCATAAAATTGTTCCACAATAAAATAAGGAAAAACAAGATAAAAATGGAAAAATAGCATGATGCTACAGTATAGAAAACTTGCACCATGCTATCACTTATCAGTAATTAACCACTAACCAGTAACTAACCACTAACCAGTACACCAGCCACGACTCCAGGGGAGGGGCGGAGGAGTGGCGGTAGTTATTAAGGAAAGTCTTAGGCCTAGGGAGGTCACTGTTCCTCAGGTTGGCGGGTGTGAATTCCTCCTTTTGAAATGGGACCCTGGAGTTCAGTCTGGGCTGTTGATCACGTACCTCTCCCCCAGCTGCGTGGCCTCAGCCCTGCCCGCACTACTAGATGTCTTAGCCGAATTGATGGTGGAACTCCCCAACCTTTTGGTTGTGGGAGATTTCAATCTGCCATCGGCCGGTGAGTCATCTGAGTTGGTGCGGGAGTTCATGACCTCCATGATGGCCATGGACCTGACTCAGATTGTACAGGACCCAACTCATATTGGAGGACACACACTCGACCTTATTTTTCTCTCTGGACAGTGGATAAATGATCGTGGGGAGGGGACTCTATCTATTGACCCTCTGTCATGGACCGATCATTCCCTCCTTAGACTCGACTTTGCCTCTGCCATCCCCCGTCGCAGGGGTGTGGAACCAGTAAGATGGTTCCGCCCCAGGCACCTGATGGAACCCGAAAGCTTCCTGATGGAGCTTGGGTCATTTCCTGCCTCCTTAGCCCACGATTCATCTGAGACCCTTGTCGCGACCTGGGAACAGGCTGCGGTGGGAGCCCTGGATCGAATCGCGCCTTTGCGGCCTCTGATCCGATGCAGATCCCGGGCGGCTCCTTGGTTTACTGCGGAGCTCAGGGAAATGAAGCGTCGGAAAAGACGCCTGGAGGGTGGTTGGAGATCCTCCCAATCCGAGTCCGACCGAACACAACTAAGAACCCATATTATGTCTTATCTTGTGGCGATGGAAGTAGCGAAACGTAAGTATTTCGCCACTCTCATTGCATCTGCAGAAAATCGCCAGCAGCCATGTTTAGAGTGACCCGCTCCCTCCTTAATCAGGGAGCGAGGGAGGACCCCTTACAGGGCCGTGCTGAGGACTTTGCACAGTTTCTGCAAGATAAAATCACTCAGATTCGGACCGGGTTGGACTCCGACTGGACAGAGTCCGTTGAGGTGACAGGGCCTAGTCTCGGTGGAGACATCTGGGTTGAGTTTGAGCCTGTTTCATTGGATGACGTGGACAGGATTATGGGTAGGCTGGGGTCTTCCACATGTTTACTGGACCCTTGTCCCTCCTGGCTTGTTTCGGCAGCCAGGGAGGTGACTGGAGACTGGATCCAGGCTATTGTCAATGCTTCACTAAAGGAAGGGGTCTTTCCTGCTGCGCTTAAAGAGGCGTTAAGAAGCCTAACCTGGATCCTGACGTACTTAACAACTACCGTCCAGTCTCCAACCTTCGCTTTTTAGCGAAGGTTGTTGAGTCCGTGGTGGCACAGCAATTCCCTCAATTCCTGGAGGAAACTGACTACCTGGATCCTTACCAATCTGGTTTCAGGCGTGGCCATAGCACGGAAATGGCATTGGTCGCCCTAGTAAATGATCTCTGGCGGGCCAGGGATGGGGGTTGCTCCTCCATCCTGGTCCTTCTTGACCTCTCAGCGGCGTTCGATACCATCGACCATGGTATCCTGCTGCAGCGGCTCAGGGGGATAGGGTTAGGAGGCACTGTTTTACAGTGGTTCTCCTCCTATCTCTCGGGCTGTCTGCAGTCTGTTTGGGTGGGGGGTCAGGGATCCTCCCAGAGGCCTCTCACTTGTGGGGTGCCTCAGGGCTCAGTTCTCTCTCCTCTGCTCTTTAATATCTATATGAAACCGCTGGGTGAGATCATCCGTGGTTTTGGGGTGAGGTATCATCAATATGCTGATGATATCCAGCTTTACATCTCCACCCCTGACCACCCTAGGGATGCCCTTTCCGTGATGTCCCACTGCCTGGAAGCGGTGCGGGTTTGGATGGGGAGGAACAGGCTGAGACTCAACCCTTCCAAGACTGAGTGGCTGTGGATGCCGGCATCCCGGGATCTGGAGGTTCCATCCTTAATGATCGGAGGTGAAACCCTTGCTCCCTCCGATAGGGTCCGCAACTTGGGTGTCCTCCTGGATTCTCGGCTGTCTTTAGATGACCATCTGACGGCCGTAACCAGGGGGGCCTTCGCACAAGTCCGTCTTGTGCGCCAGTTGCGCCCGTTCCTAGACCGGGATGCCCTCGCCATGGTCACTCACGCCCTTGTTACCTCTAGGTTGGACTACTGTAACACCCTCTACATGGGGCTGCCCTTGGGACGTGTCCGTAGGCTTCAGCTAGTCCAAAATGCAGCCGCGCGGGTAGTTACGGGGGCGTCTAGATACTCCCGTGTAACACCTCTCCTGCGTGAGCTGCACTGGCTACCGGTGGCACTCCGGATACGTTTCAAGGTGCTGGTGCTCACCTATAAAGCCCTTCATGGCTTAGGCCCGGGGTACTTGCAGGACCATCTCCAGCCATTCTCCCATCGTCCTGTGTGCTCTCACAGAGTCGGCCTCCTCAGGGTGCCGTCGGCCAAACAATGTCAGCTGACGACCCCCAGGGGGAGGGCGTTCTCTGTGGGAGCCCCGACCCTCTGGAATGGATTGCCCACTGAGCTCAGGACAGCCCCCGACCTTCTTTCCTTCCATCGCGAGCTGAAGACGTGGCTCTTCCGCCAATTAAACTGATCCATTTGGGGGTACACTGGTATAATTTTAAATCATTTTTTAATTGGGTTACTGATTTTAATTTGGTATTGTGATTTGTATTGATGTTGTCATTTTGTAAGCCGCCTTGAGTCCCTAGGGAGAAAGGCGGCATATAAATTGCAATAAATAAATAAATAAATAATTCATAAGCCATCTGAAAACTGTAGGGACTCAACTGAATTTTCAGGGGCCTGATTAATTAATGTCCATCCAAAAATCACCTATTTGACAAACTCTGGAAGGAAGAAAGGTGATCGTTGAAGCTCCTAGCCATTTTCCTGCCTAGCAATCTACCAATGGTGCTACTTTGGAACAAAGATTTATTAGTCTTAGTCTAGAAGAAATGCTCAGGTCTCTCTCATTCCAGCTTGCAAGGGAATGCTGTCACAAAGTGGCAAGTGTACTTTGAAGTAGGCTGTGGAGTGTGCTAAACAACAATGCAGTAGGAAAACTAGGTTATTTCCATGGGATATTCCTCTATAAGATGATAAGGAGGGCCAGAGAGGTCAAAGTATCTGCCACATTACCTGTTCACCCCAGGTGAAATTCTTACACTTTTCAGTGATAGGATGACCCTGGGCCATACAGGAGTTGGTGGATCAGGTATTCATGAAACTGCCCTTTTCAGGTACATAAGCAGCCCGATGCCAGGTCTGTTGTATACTTGACAAAACAAAGTGTAGTCCGAAAAAAATTCCTTCTATAGTTGGTTAGGTGGCCTAAATTGGAAAGGCTGTGGAAGATAGCTAATACAATGTTTCCCTGAAAATAAGACCCTGTCTTATATTTTTTTGAACCCTGAAATAAGCACTTGGCCTTATTGCCATGCACTCAAAAGCCCAATTGGGCTTATTATCAGGGGATGTCTTATTTTGGGAAAACATGGTAGTATCCAGGGAAAAACAAAGATTCCTTGTGTAGTGAAGCATCACAGAGAGACTGCACAGCACATCAAAATTGGGTTTTGATAGGGGTTTTAAAATGATCTTAGTTGGATGTCTTAAATTTGGCCGAATGATTTAATTATTTTAATAAGCTTTTAATTTTTGTTGTACATTGTTTTTATCATGGCTGTTCACCGCCCTGAGTCCTCCGGGAGAAGGGCGGTATACAAATATAATAAACTAACTAACTAACTTGAAGTACTAGAAGAAATCAGAAAATATCATTTTGATACAGAGTGAGAAATGACGGCAGAGCTGATTCTTGCAATGGGACAGGGACAGGTTGGGGACAATGCTGTGTATTCATACCCTCAATGAACTATTGAGGCCTCTTTGCTTCAAGAGAAACAGAAAATGTTGATGAGTCTATAGGATCACATGCAGTGAAATTTGCTAGCACCTGAGCAGACCTACTTTTTTCATGGCACATGAACAGAATGATTGCAACAAGTGAAATAAAATCATAAATTGAGGAACTTAACTTTGATTAAATGAGGAATGGAAGGAATAGTACTGAAATGGCAGAACAGAAGGCCTAAACTCCAAAAAAGTTTGTACAGAAGTGGCTGAAGGAATGAAATGAATAGTTTTAAAGAAGGAAAGGAAAAGACAGTAAAAGTTAAAACTGTCTCAATCTAGAAAAATGGAAACACAAGGGTCTTATGTCCTGGCTTGTTTACAAATACTTGAGAAACACAGTGAGTATAGTTCAGGCCCTATAAAGGTTGTCAAAAGTCACAAACTATCTAAACACTCTTAAAATTATGTGTTGTCCAAACACAGTCAATAATGACTTATCCAAAAGTGAAATTAAACAGGGATCTGGGTATTCTTTGCAATTCTGATGCCAAAACAGATTTGTATAAAATTGAACATTAAAAAAAAAATCCTTAAAGAGGCAAGGCGAAACAATGAAAGAAAAAATAAGTTAGCTAGAAGGTGGCCTAGTAATTAAGCTCCGGCAGCACCTTCCTAAAATGCTCCAAGTTTCCTGCACAACTATCACTGAACACAAAATCTATAACTCAAAAGAATTTGCAAGTCTTCTCAAAACAAAGAATTCTAAATCACAATGAG